GCTGAGAGCTGGAAGGAGGGTCCCATGTCTCTTTCATTTTTTGTTTCTTTGTTCTGTGTTTTTCCCACTCCCAAGAATGGGTCAAGGAATATAACACACCCTCCTCAACAGGTGAGCTCAAACTTTGGCCTGCCTGCTAAGAAACAAGAACCCAAGGGCCTAAGTACTGCCACTCGCCATCTCTGTCTCTTAGTCCCTGCAGCCACAAACCCACACTAAATCAACATCCCCAAAGTATCTCTACACCTGGGCCAACTTTGAATAGGTGACTTTCGGTTTTATAGAATTTGTTTACTGCAATTATCACTATACACTTATCCCTCAATGAGCAAAAAAAAATTTATCAAAAAGGTCTTTAATTTTAAAACCATCTTGCCGCAAGGACACAACATGTAAAAGTGCAAACCAAAGAGAGATCTCAGACTAACACACACGAAGTGCAGATTTCAGTGAGGCTCTCACAATGCACAAGGAAAGTTTGTTCGCAAAGCTGAGGAGCAACAAAGCAAAAGAGTATATGCATGTACTCCGTCTCAAATAATGAAGGGACATAAGCAAACCATGTCATACAATGCTTCAGGTTTCCTGGTTATAAAAAAAGCAAAGATTAAAAACTTCCCATTATAGATCACAAGCCTGATAAGGACACTATGTTTTGAGCTGCTTCTTTCAAGATAAAGATGGTCTAATGCCTCTCAATTACATAATTTTATTATAATCCCACCCCCCTCTATATAAATGGCATAAATTGGATTATTTTGATACTGTAGAAGAATTAAGTCGCACTGCTTGGCTGAACCACTTGATGGTGCCACAAGTTTACTCATCATTCAGCTAAACCATCCAGACAGTCTAAAGAGCTCTGGCTCTGGAGTTGGACACAAGAGACACATACCCAGGAATTCCAAGTCATGTTTTCCCAACTAAGAAATGCAAATTTTATTCTGGAAAGGGTATTTATTTATTTACACAATGGTTTAAAATCGAGGTGGTTAATGTGTTGTAGAAGACGATGGAAAGGATTTAAGATGAAATAACTTTTGAGCTGAGTCTTAATGAAGTGGAGGGGTTTGCCAGGTCAACAGATAAGGAAAAAACATTTGGGGTACTAGGAACGGCAGGAGGTAAGAAAATGACACGAGAGCGTGGTATTAGGGAACTGTAAGTAATTCAGTATGGTTCAAACATCAAGATATGTGTGAAGCAACGACAGGAGGAAGGCTAAGCAGAAAACTAAATCCAATCACTAGACAGTATTAATTGTTAGAAATGTAAGCTCTGTGAAGATAGAACAGTACCTACTGATGATAGTCATTCTGACCGGTGTGAAGTGATATCTCATTGTGGTTTTAATTTGCATTTCTCTGATGGTTAGTGATTTTGAGCATCTTTTCATATGCCTATGTCCACTTGGAGAAATGTCTAGTCAGGTCCTCTGCCCATTTTTTAATTAGATTGTTTGAATTTTTTTAGTGTTGAGTTGTATAAGTTCTTCATACAAAATAGTCATGGGGATATAAAGTACAGCATAGGGAATATAGTCAATAATACTGTAATAACTAAGGATAGTGACAGGTGAGTACTAGACTGATCAGGGGGATCACTTCGTAAATTATGTAGATGTCTGACCACTGTGCTGTATACCTGAAATAAATGTAAAATAATGTTGGGTATCAAATGTAATTGAGAAAATAATTTAAATGAAAATGAAATAGGAGGGGGAAAAAAAGAACAGTATCTAGCGCTTAGTAGAAGCGTAAAGAAGAGCTATTGAATGAATTAGCAACGGAACACTCTGTTTTGGACAGCACTGAAGAATAGCACTGGGATCCCTTTCCACTGCTAGGGTCCAGACAACTAATTATACCAGGAAGTTGACAATGTAACATAAGAGTTTAAAATAAAATTTTAGGTATTCTGAAGTTTTGTCTATCTAAACAAAGGCAAACTTACAGGTCTAGCTACATGCCCAGAATTTTAAAAGGAGTATTTCAAGCTACGTAAAAGTAAAGAAATACTTTATATGTCAAAATGTCAACTAAGTACATCCTTAAACAGTTAAAAACCCAATAAGCAGTAAGTAATCCATCTTTCCTGCTTACTCAAAGAAACATTACAGGGAACAGGTCAGGAAGATACACATTTTTATAGGAAGTATTTTGGGCAGAACAAATTTTAAAAGTTGCTTAAGGCTCAACAATTTGCTATTATAAATATAGCCAGCTTGAAACAACCTGGCCCTTGACAGCTATAGATGTGGGCAAGTGTCCTGGTCTTCAAATTTAGAATCCCAAACTGAAAATAATTAACTAAGCCACAACGCAAAGCTGATGTTTTAGCCTTGCTAAGCCTATTATTTAAAAAAAAAAAAAAAAAAAAAATCCTGGAGACAACTTGGTATCTTTATTCGCCTCCACCGGAATAGCTTGCTTAGGTCTCTGGTCTTCACAAAACAATTCAGGGCCTCTGACTCACAAAAGAAAGGCCACTACAACTCAATGCCATGGAGCAGTGGAAAGACAGATGCCCAGGGTCAGGCGGATACCCACGAAATGAGACACCGAGCCTTGTAACTTCACATGGTAGAGCATCTTTCATGCAGTCACCTGTGTACCAACCATGCCTTCCTAAATTTTAAAGTGACCAAAACGATGCACAATTATGCTTTAGAAAACACTAGGCTCCAGTCTATTTGTACAATATGGAATTCTAGACATTGTGTCTAAATCTGCCTTCGATGAGCATTAAATTCACCAGGGTAGCCTGCATATTCTTTAGGCAGAGGCTGCAGCTTCTATGAGGCATTTGAGGAAACCTTTTCTTCCTTAGATTTTGTATTCATTTTCCATTTCAGGATCTGTTCAATTATAAAAAGTATAAAGAGGAGTACTGTACTCTTCAAAAATAACAATGTCATAAAAAGACAAAGGCCATGGATATATTCCAGATTAAAGATAACCAAAGAGATGGGACAACTATGTAACACCTGGTCCTAGAATGAATTCTTTACTGGAGGATAAAAGAATGCTATAAAGAATATTATGGGGATTATAAATTGGAACACAAATGGAAAACTAAAGTATTGTGTCAATGTTACCTCTAAAGTTGGTACCTGTAGTGTGGTTGTATAAGAGAATCTCCTTATTCTTTGGAAATATATACTAAGGTATTTAGAGGTAGAGAACTATGAGGTACGCAACTTACTTTCCAATGGTAAAACAGAGTAAAATATTAACGATAAATGATTCTGAGTAAAGGCTATTCGGGTGCTCTGTGTACTATTCTTTTTCTTACAACTTTTCTGTAAATTTGAAATTATTTCCAAATAAAAAGTTTTTAAAAACAGGAAGGCTTATGAAAGCTTTACAGAATAAAAGTTCCAAAAGTATAGTTTAGGATGTCATTTTAGTGTTAGCTATTTCTTACATGCTCCGCATTACTGGTGTATCAGCACAGGGCACACAGAAGGAGCCCAGGACTGTGGCCCATCAACTAGCTAGTCAGATTACTTATGATCTTGCCCTTTGAAAGAGTTAAGGATAATTTTGACTGTGCTTTAATTATAGGGATAATGAGAACAGATGGTACTCACTAACAGAGCACACTTTTGATAAGGTTTACGAGCATGTACTTACCCTCCATTCAAAAATCAACAGAGTCCATCAGGCCTAAAATTCGCCTCCAGGGAATTTATATCACTTGTTGTCGCTACTTACTCTTTACTTGCATTTCCAGGAAATGCTCATATAATGGCAAATCTGAATTCATGAAGGAAATTTTAAATGCTCTTACAAAATTATAGGAAAGAATTTGAGAGAAAGTTGGAAGAGAAAAGCAAAAGAAAAATACTAATAAGGAATTAAATATAAAAGAACCTACAATTTGAAAAACACACTCTCTTCCTCTCTCAGAAGAGCAACCTGATGTACACTCTACATGGAGGTAGACCTAAAAAGATAGCTTTCCTTCCAAAGATTAGAAGAAACTGAAATTTGACAACATAGTATTAGCCTGGCAGACCTCTAGAGATAGAGGTTGAAAATTCAAGACCATGGGCACATGGGAGCAACAGAAGAAGCTTAAAAGGCCTTCAAAACAGATGTCTGTGTACTGCAGAGCACGGCCAAGCATAATCAGAGTCCTCCGTGATGCCAAGCAAAAGGCAGGTCTCTAGTGTACCCCGAATTAGCAACACAGGGACAAGACAAAAAGCCCAGTTCTCAAGACTACAATGAAGTGGGGGGAAGTGGGAGGGCCAGAGAATATCAAGCCGGGGTACTTAATAAGAAATTCGAAAGCAGAAGGAAAGGTGAAATAAGGTTTCCCAGGGCCGGGAAGTGTGGCCTGAGCCTGGAAAGATGGAGGCGGGTCACAGGCTCGGATGTGAACGGGTGGAGAGGAGATGTGTAGATTTGGAGAGGAGTTCAGGAAAGGGAGTGCCAACAGAGGGGCCAGCCACTGCCACTGCAGAGGGCAGGGCGTGTAATGGACACCACGACATCCACTCTGGCAGGAACTCGGGGTGGGATGATGGAGTGGCAAGAGAGGCTGGAGTTTAAATTCAATCCTAAACACTGGAAGACTGTGAAGGAAAGCAACATTATCTGACTTGTATTTTAACAAGATCTCCCAGGAGGCAGCATGTGGGATGGAGTAGAAGGGGAAATGGGCCGGCAAAGACACCTAGTCCAAAAAATGTGTAGACATAAAACACCACCAAAGAGAAACCAATCATTTTTAACTCTAGGCTTCACTTAGACCAGATTTTTTTTGTCCCTCTGGTAAGAACTGACATGAGACTTCAGTATTCTGATGTGTTCACACAGAAATGACAACAGCACTTTCCCTCACCAACATCTGAATTTTTTTTTTTCACCAAATTCATTCTAAGTTTAAACTCTAAATGGATTCATATGAAGGAAGACAATGATTGATGAAGTTACATAATTCATAATTCATTATTAGGGAATAATGAACTAAATAAAAATAATCCAAGTATAGTATTTTAGGAAACGAATGCTAATATGTTTTTGTAGTAGCTTCTACTCACACCAGATTAAGAGGCAGCAAATCAAAAGAAAAGATCTTTGGAAGAAACAAGCCAATGGAGTAAGAGAGGAGCCAGTCTTACATATTCACAGAATTTTAGAACTCACTCGTCTGTGCTCAGGAAACCTAACACTTCCTTTGGTCATTGCCAACAGTTGCAATTTCTGGTCATTCGGCTAATGAACCTTTAAAATTCCTGCCTAGTCTTGGTAGGTGTTTAAAAGTGATTACATTAATAGCTTGATTACAATAGGTTCAACAGAATGAGAAAATGGCGCATTGTGTGGCATCGATGTCTTACCGCCCACACAAATGCTTTACTGGTTTCCTTGTTAGCGAAATACAACACATTCTACATAGCAGCTTTGAGCTACTAGCACTAAAATGACTGGTGTCAAGGAAAGGGGAAAAGGGCAGTGTGGTAGTTTAGTATAAAATTCCTGATTCTCAAAATCCCTGTTCTCCCCAATATACCCTCTACTTATGAGAAGACGCAAGTCAAAATAACACCAAAGGGCTATCACATCTAAGGGTCCCTTGGGCAAGACCACACTCAGGTGGGGAGTCAGAGGAAGCAGGCTCTAAGCTGACCCTGGAAGATGAGGAAAGGCTGCCCCCACTCTTCCTCTAACTGCTGGCCCCTCTCGCTGTGGGTGATTTAGCACCAGTATCTACTCAAGGAATGAAAAGGTTTAGAAGCTACATCTAGATAACACTTAGGCCCCTCTTGGCTAAAGATATAAGGAAGGAAATGGAACTAAGCAGCTGAGCACTTTCTGGTTCTGTAATGGCCTGAGCACAGGTGGAGCCTGGAAGTGCTCACTGCTGTACTAAGGGTTTGGAGCAAGAAGTGCAGTGGTTAAGAACAAAGGCTGTGGTGCCAGAGAGACTTGGACTTGAGTCCTGGTTCAACATGGGCAAGTGGCTTAACCTCTCTAAACCCCAATTGCCATAAATTTGAAGAAGATGGTGATCACACACCATCTTATGAGATCGTTATGAGATGCAATGAAATAAATGGATACATATGAAGTGCTTAGCACTGTGCCTAAAAAGTATCCCCTCAAATATTAGCTATTATTTTGATGACTGATCATTTGGGGGCTTTAGGGTCCAAAAAGCGAAATAGCGAGCCCACAATAATAAAAGCCAGAACAAACACTGGGTCTGTGAAGAGGTGGGGGCAGGTCGTGGGCAGGAGCAGAAAAGGGGTAAGAAATGCAGCTTCTCCCAAGACATTGTTTAAAATGTGGCTAACCATGGAAATACTGTGAGCCATTATTTCTTTGTGTTGAACAAGAGCTGATTTGAGATACCCATAAAAACTCCTACAATTGCTCTTTCTTATATTTTTGTATTGTATTTTCACAGCATTGTATCTGTTAGCTACATAATAAAATCAAAGGTCTCTATAAAAATTAAGTCTAAATGGAACAAAGGCCTAAATGTAAAAGCTAAAACTGTAAAACTCTTGAAAGAAAACATAGGTGTAAAGCTTCATGACACTGGATGAAGCAATATTTCTTGGATATGACTGAAAAGCTAATAAAGAAAAAATAGATAAATTGGACTACATCAAAATTAAAAACTTTTGTACATCAAAAGACACTATCTATAAGTGAAAGGGCGACCCACAGAATGGGAGAAAATATTTGCAAATCATATTATCTAATAAAAGGTTAGTATCCAGAATATATAAAGACTCTTATAATTCAACAAGCAAATGACCTAAGTAAAAAATGGGGAAAGGATTTGAAATAGACATTTCGTCTAAGATATACGAATGGCCAATAAGCACTTGAAAAGATTCTCAATATCACTCATCATTAGGAAAATGTAAATCAAAACCACAAGGAGATACCGCTTCAGACTCATTAGGATGGCAATATTCAAAAATAAAAAAATAAGAAAACAGAAAATAATAAGTATCGGTGAGGATGTGGAGCAACTGGAACCCTTGTGCATTGCCAGTGGGAACATAAAATTGGATGCTACTATGGAAAACAGTCAGCCTATCCACTCCACGCTCAAAAAAGGAATTACCATCTGATCCAGCAATTCCAATTCTGGGTACATACACAAAAGAATTGAAAGCAGGGTCTCAAAAAGATAAGTGTACACCCATGTTCACACAGCATTATTTACAGCAGCCGAGAGGCAGAAGCAACCCAAAACAGATGAATGGAGAAACGCTAAGTGATGTATGTTCACACGATGGAATATTATTCAGCCTTAAAAAGGAAGGAAATTCTGACCCGTGCTACAAGCCGGATGAATCTTGAAATCATTATGCTAAGTGAAAAAAGCCAAACACAAAAGGACAAATACTGTATGATTCCATTCATATGAAGTACCTAGCGTAGTCAAATTCAGACACAGAAAGTTGTCAGGGGCTGGGGGAGGGGACATGGGAAGTTACTATTTAATGGATAGAGTTTCAGTTTGGGAAGATGAAAACAATTCCAGAGATGGATAGTGGTGGTGGTTGCACAACAATGTGAATGTATTTAAATGATGTTTTCTGTTATGTATGTTTTACTACAATTTTTCTGTTATGTATGTTTTACCACAATTTTCAAAAAATTAAAAATCACTACCTTATCTTTATCATCCTGGTGTTATGTCACCATCCTTGCTCTCATAAAAGTCAGTTCTTCTGTTCCGCTCTCTGCCCTATCTGTAGTTAGCACACAGTGGCTTTGGAACAGCCATGGCACATCTTACATACCTATCAGCTAAGAGATATTGATAGTCTAATTCTCTCAAAATAAAACCATAAGAGCTTATAATAATTATGCTTCAACTGTTTACACTACATTCACTTCTACTCTAGGTATCCCTACTTTAAAACTCTAGGGAATAGTTTTTTAAAATCTAAAGTGCATTAAAAAACAATCATGTCTTTAAAAGTGCACTAACATCACGCTCACTTACTTGAGAACGTGATTTTTTTTTTGTTGCCAAAATGGCAACAGTTGCTGGGGAAACCACAAAACAACAGGGATATTTAACTGAAACAAACTCTACTCACCTGCACAAAGATGCCCTTGCTCCTGTATTCCTCATGGAGGCACTGAGAGAAGAAATCTACAAAAGCCTGCGACGGGGTGGGAATGAGGAGAAAACATGCACGACTTACATCAATCTGCTTGATTTGTAGCCATGGAAACAAAAATAATAAACTAACCATTTAACACTATAGTTTCTAATCATTCTTTTTACAACAAATGCAGAAGAGACCTTTAAAAAACATGCTTCGAAACCTCCAGTCATTTTTAATCTGCCATTAAATTAAGTATTCTCTTACCAAATAAAATACCCAGGTCAAATTTTGATTTAACTGGAAAAGGTTCTTCTTTTCTTTTTTCAGAAAATTACTCCCCAAGAAATGTTTTATTAAACGATGTATTCCTCCTCCCCATGTGCCATTCGAACAGGAACACAATATAAATTCCATTCAACTCTGTTCTATGGGGATTTCGTTGTCAATAAAGAGAAGGAAAGAGCGAGCATCCTCTTGGTGCTCTGGGATTCAAGAAATGTAGAGATGGACCTGACAGCCCATCTTCCGACAGCACGACTTTAAATCTATTTGTAAAATATAATGTACCACACTCTGCAAATGTGAAATGCAAAGTATCAGTAATGACTCTACGAGGGTCCCAATAATTAGTCTCATGTCCATGGAGCAGAACGGGTAAGCAGTTGGAGTTCACCGGTCACTCCAAGAAACATGGTGTTCATTTTAAACATGCCCACTGTTACGTTTCAGAGATACAGAAAGCAAGTGGGTTGCAGGGGTTGGGGGTGGTACCAAGCTTTTTCAAAAGATGGTAGCCACAGTTTATATTTTTCCAGTGGACAAAAAGCCAAATGAAAAAAAAAGGCAGGAATTTTGCTCTTTTCCGTGCCTGACATATTGTACATTCTTATCATGTATTATATTTTGCTCCTTTTCCCCTAAAAGCTTATTTAATTTCAGCATCTCAGTGGTCATTTTCATTTCATAGATGTCTCTCATGCTTCAACGATGTATATGAAGATGATGCTATTTCCTGCAGGCAGTAAGAAATATATTCTAAATTATTGTCCTAGTAGTAATGTGAAGAGGTGAACGATGATGCTGTATAAAATTATGACATCTTACAGAGGTCTGGAAAATTCTTGTCTTACTCCAGAAGTAACAATAAATATCTGTGAATTCTGAATAATGTGGCAAAATACTCACAGTCTCACGCAGTCTATCTTGCATCTACTATGTGTACTTATGTGCTGTCTGCAATCCTACTCAGCTCTGCAGACTTGGAACTGATGCTGTATGCAGGTGACTTACTTACAAACCAAATCTCCCATCTCAGAATCATTAACATCATGTTCTGATCAACCGAGCTAACTGACCTAGGCCGGCTCTCTCTGGAAAGTACAAATATCAATTTTAACACCATAAACTACTGGGAGAAAAAAAAAAAAAAATCTGTGGATCTGTTATCTTGGTGTCACATTTGTAAAGTTTACATCAATCGTTCTAATAGGCTCTGGTTGCCCTAAAACTAGGGTTGGGTATTTTCCTTCTCATTCCATTTGAAAACTGCCAAGAATAAAACTTTGAGAAAGTTCTATGTTCATTTCTGAGATTGAAAATTATTCCTTGCTCTCATTTTGACATTATTTACTAAAGGACTATGCACCTTGGTTGCGGAGTAGATGGTCAACAGTGGAACTGGGGCCATGCCACTGGCAGAGGACATGTTCAGAATTACCCCTTTAGACCTAAAAAAGAAAATATACCAAGTAAACAGAATGAAATCAGATACACAATTGCTTGTGAATTACAGATGGAGCTGTAGACTTGAAACAGAATGACCCAGCTGTTTCTCTAACACATCTCTCTCCTTGCCTTTCATCAGCCTGTGACGCGTCTGGTCAGTGAATAAGGCATAACTCAATCAACTAAAAATAGCTCTGGTGTGCAATTAGCTCATTTCTTGGTTTTAGTAATCTGGGGCACGATGGAATCAAATCTGTAGGTTCCTGGAGTTGATGTCTACCCTCTGCGGTCTTCTCTGGCCACGGCACCAAGAATTCTCAGCCTTAGTAACACACTCTTTTAACTCTCACACTCCTTGCATGCTTTTATTTTGGCATATCATCACATACGACCTTGCTGTATTTAATCATTCTATATATATTTAATCATTCTATATATTTTTTTTCCTTCCTCAACATAAGCTTCTGGACAGCATCTGTCCTCACTTTTCCTCAAAACACGCAGCACAGTCTTGAGCATGTAACTGGTGCTTAATAAAACCTTCCGGCAATGAATGAAGATTATGTCCTGCCCTCCTACTTTCCCTGGGTTGTAGATATTCAGGTGCTAAATGAAGAGCTGACTTTAACATTATGCAACTCTACAGTGCATCAAACCATACTCTTTTGCCAAAAGACAAAGCTCAATCTCTACTGTAACTTTTAGAGACTACTGAAAGTCAAAAGTCAGAAAGTTACCCTGAATTACTAATTCTACAAATAAATGAAAATTAGTTTGAGGAAAGCAATGCTGTGAATATACTAGTAGGTAGCAAGCATATGTGGGTTTGGTAGAGTGTGAAATTAGAGTTTTAGGAATTTTAAACAGAATTAAAAATCAACTCTTCCACCTCAATCCATTCTTCTCATGGGGCTTGGTCCACTTCTTCGACTACTGCGACCTGACCCATCCACCTCTTAGTGGATTTCACAGATCAGATTCCTTGCTTCAACCTAGTTTCTCATTATTTTTCATCTAAATTTACTTCCCTCAAGGCCTATTTTTTTTTTCAATATTAAAAAAAAGGACTATATAGGCCCTTTTTGTGCAAAATAATAAGGGAAACATGATTAAACGGTATCTAAGTTATTTTAGACATAAACCTGAAAAGAAATAATCCCCAAAGGTCACCCAGTCCATCTGCCAGCCTCTAGGCGAGATGCCACTTCAACCGTCAAACAGAAGTCTGGATCCTCAGCTTAGTGTGTCACCGGAAACAAGTTGTTATTTTTTGTTTTCATTTTTTAATTTAAGTCATTATTAGTAACACATACTTTCCTAATCAGTAAAATCCATTAACATTTTGGTCACGGAAATCAAACCTCAAATTTAAAAAGGTTAAATTAACGTTTTGAAGAAAGTTGGAATTTAGTCAATGTATCATTCTTGTGTTTTTTGCTTGTGTCTCTCACAAAGACAGAAAAACCTTTTCTTTTTAAATGTTAAGGTAAGAAAGGAAGAGTGTCTATCAGGAGTTAGAAGCCAATCACTCTAAGATAAAAACTAGTGAATGAGCAATAAATATCTAGTAATTTCACTTTATCTATAGTTGTGAGAAATTCCTTTGATCAAAATGGACTAGTTCCAGTTTTGTTACTGGAGACTTTTAATATAGTATTAATGTACGAATTTAAAATATTTATCTTTTTTGGGTGTTGAAAATGCTCTAAAATTAGATTGTGGTGATGGCCGCACAGCTTCGTGAATACACTAGAAACCACCAAATTGTACACTTTACAAACAGGTGGATTTTATGGTATGTGAAATGTATCTCGACAAATCTATATAAAAAAAAGAGAGAAAGGGAAATATATTTATGACATATTGGAATGGGTGACCTTCACTGAGCTCAGTGCAGACCCAATCCAAGTGGAAACTAAGAGAGCTACAGGATTTTATATAACACCATAAGCTTTCTGAGAAGTAACCCAAAATCCTGACAAGTTGTACCCCTCACAACTTTCCTGAGCCCCAAGCATCCTTGTAGGTTTAGGTAGTGGTTTATTTTCACCTGTTTGCATATAACCAGGAATCGCTAGGTCCCCACTTATTCAGACAAATGCAGAAGCCAGTCTGAAGCAGTCACGGGCGTGATGTGTTTACTGAGGGCTACCCCTGCTGTTTCTGTCAGCTGGATTATGTACTCCACTCATTACCCTCAAACTGGCCAGGGTGGTTATGTGTGCCCTTCGACACGAATCTTACCTTTTATTAATTTCATTCCTCACAAATGAATTACAATTTTACAGTCTTCCAAAATTTAAGTTTAACATTATCAAATACATTTTAAAATTTAGAACTTGACCTTCACCAAAACAGACTCTTAAAACTTCACTCACCAAAGCAATGATTTCGATACAGGAAAATTCATTTAAAGATAACAAAAACTTCTTTCCCATTTTTAAAAATAACAGACCAATAATCAAATATGTCACAATTATTCAGATATGCTCCTTTAATTATTTACTCGTTGAGCCATCTGATATTTTTGTGTCTCAAATATTCTACCTTGAAGGTAGAGTTAGTTTGAATTAGCAAAGTCAGAATTTGAGGGCGCTTTATTCAAAACATAATATTTGCATTCTAAAATACATTAAAACAAACATAAGACCAACAAAGTATAAATCAAGAATGCACCAGACGTTAAGTAAATAAAAGGAAAGCATTTATAACTGTACTAAAATGACAGTAAACACCCCTTCTACAAAACTCTGTGCTACCAAACACACGTATTTGTCTGACAAAAGCCTTCTTCCCATACCCACGCACAAGAGCAGCACAATTCTCTCTCCCTTTCTCGCCAAGGATAATAATATTCAACTTAGTTTTGTCTGAATCATAAATAACACACTGGTATAGCTGCCTTAATCCTTGTACTGTATACAGGACCTATTCTTTAGGCAGAGATGGGGATGAACATTTGGGAATGCAGGGTACAAAGGACTCGTCTTTAGAATTGACTACTTTGTCTGGCTTTAATCCTCATCTAAGCAGAATCAGTGACGTCAAACCAGTTTCCATGGCACAGCCAGACTCATGACAACTCTGTTATACCAAGCAGAAAGACAAAATGGGCTGCACTTAATTACACACAGAAACAAACACTAAACCAAACTCTGGTAATCTCTCATTTTCCAAGGACTTGGGGAACAATTCTAAGATTGGAAGGTACATTAAGAAGCATCATTGCTCATACTTCACATTTCCAGTATGTTATGACAAATAATCCAAATAAACAAGTCAAGTAATATTTTCTGTGATACAACATTCTTAATTCATCACATTGCTTACTTGCTAACAGCCACACGATGGAGTCTCAGTGGCACAAATTATTGAGGATCTACTAGAACTAAAATGCTGCAAAAACAGAGCAGAAAACACCACTGCTGATAAGGAAGCACCTTTTCATATAAACATATTCTCTCCAACTCGTAGCCCTCTCACAAGCCAAACGTTAAACTCACCCAACCCTATAAAACTCAGCATGTTGCCTTTATAGCTTCCTATAGCTCTGCTCTCCAGAATTCCCTCAGACCTGTGAAATTCCCCATCATAACGCTCTCCTTCATTGTCACCTGGAGTTAAAAAAAAGTCTCACTATTCCAATAGACTATTATAGTACCGCTGTCCACAGCTCCAGAAAAATCCTATTTTCTTAGAGGAAGTGATAGGTCCCTTTGAGATAAGTCCCTGATTTTTGCCTTCCTCAGGAACCTCGTCACTGCCCCACACTGCAGGTGGGGAGAGGTGGAGAGGTGTAAACGTTGCTACGAAGAACTGAAACGCAGGGTCAATCCTGATGTGGACAGCTAACCGCACGTAGAGTTTGATGGCAGGCAAGGGAGATTGTGCGAGAAAGACTATCACAATTCTTCATATTTCTATTTCTTATCAGGGAGTGCATAAGTGAGCTATTGAAGGGTCATTACTTTTTTTTTTAAGCTTAAATATAATACTGAAATTGGAACAGACAGTTCCTAACAGACTCTCAAGTAGACTAAGAAACATATTGAAACAAGGGTTCTGTCAGCAAAGAATTCTGGAACACAGGGGTCAGGTATATAATTAGAACTAGCAATCCAAGTACATTATAAAAACATTGCTTTGTTGAAGAAAGTTTGCAAACATATACCACATGAAAGAAAATTGCCTGCTCTAAAACACCATAACATGTCATAATTCCACCTTAAGCAATACAGTATGAAAGAAGCTATTTTTAGCTTTTCCATGGTTGTTATGGCAACCACCTCCTGGCTCCAGCTGTACACAATGTTTATAATTCCAGGGAAGTAGAAAGAGCAAGTTTCCTCTATAATGTAATTGTGCACTTTCTACTTCTATAGTAACGATACCTCAGTTTGATTACGATACTTGTTTAGCAATAGCCAGTGGCCCTTGGCCATAGTCCTAGAAGGTTTGGAACATCAGAAGCAGAATCAGTGAAAGAGGAAAACAGCAACAACAAAAGATCTCTGTAAAGGACTCTGCTGTGACTCATTGGAGATGTGAATCCTACGAAACCAACCACAAGAAATATGACATTGTAAAGGGACAGTGTAAAGGGCAGGCTATGATAAAATCGCTTCTAATGTGTAAGGCCTTGCAAATGATCTGTTAACCTGGAGTTTTCCTTTCCTCTTGGGCACCCAACTGACAACATTTCTGGCCTCCCATGCAGCTAGTTGTAGCTTCTAAGTTCTGGACAATGGAATGTGGGCAGAAGTGATGTACACCACTTCCAGGCCTCGCACATGCAACCTCCCCTAAAGTCATCCCATTTTCTCTTATCTCATCGCTAGCTGGATCCAGAGGACTCAGTGGAGAACTGCAAGGTCCAAGGGGGTAAGAATTGACGCCCCAAATAGAAGGAACCTGGGACCCTGAATGACTGGGTAGAGCAGAGCCCCGACCACTGATCCATGTTGGCTGTGATGTGAAGGAAAAATCAACCTTTATAGAATGAAGCCACTGAGATTTGGGAGTGGTCTGTTACTGCAGTTAGCCTAGTTCAACTGATACAATTAGTAACTTTAATTCAAGCGAACACAGCTGTTTCTTCTCCTAACCAAAAGTATTGATTCATACATTTCTTATTAGTTCTTCACAGTGCCACCATCACCCCCACGATGTCAGTTTCAATGCAGCCTATGACAGCTTTCCACCAGATCATTTCTCAACCTCAGTTTAAAATCAACTTGATTTCTTAAAGGCAAGAATCCAATGCATCTTCTGGATACACCATGAAAAACTTTATTCAATGAATGCCTGTTGAATGGATGCATCCTTTTCTTTGCATTCTTTGTTTTTATCTCATGCTCCAGCTATAATTGTGATCATGACTGCCAGGTCCACAGATAGAGTAGTGAAGTTCCTGTTCCTTTTGTTTGTGCATTTACTAACTGGTTACGGAGCTTCGTGGCACCAAATTTCTTTGACTCTCACTTTTTATGTCAAGCGGGGGACGGTCGGGGGGAGGTGCCGGGGGCGGGGTGCGGTTTACAGTTAAAGTACTTAAAGACTGTGACTCTTTGAATCCTGTAGTTTATGATCTGCAAATGGTTTCACAACCATTACCTCTTTTGATTTGGTTTTTACCAACACACTTAAAAATTCCTTTTATAATACCTCTGTGGTTTAAAGTATTTATTTAAAGGATGGACTTACTATCCTGAATTAATATAGTGTCACTTGCAGATGTCAAAACTAGGATTAAGATGATAGCTCAAATTTCATCCCTCCTGGGTTCTATTCTGTCTGCCCTAATTCTCTGCAGTTTTCTGGGTTCTGGTCTGGTTTGATCACTGTCCCTTTCATATCTAGCCATGAAGGCACCCTCCCTGACAACCAACACAAGCAGTTTGAAGGTTTTAAAGGGAAATTTTACTCAAATAAAGCAATTAAAGTATACAAAATTACATATAAAAGGGAATTACAAACAAAAGCCTTGCTAAGAAGTAGTTTCTCAGCTGGTCTCTGTAGATGCCAAAAGAAAATAGATTTCTAACCTCAGTAACCTCCTCTGTATCAGGCTGGGAGACTACCTAAGTTAAATGAGTTAACGTGTATCAAGTTCTTGCACACTTGGTACATAATACATACTCAATAAACCTTAGGGGGAACCCCTGCCTGAGGCTTGTCACAGATGTTTCTTCACAGAAGTAGGGTCCTTGGATTTTCCCTTTTCAAAGCTGTGATTCCTGTGGATGTCTTCTAAACTCAAAGCTATTTTGCAGAAGAGGATGACAGTGGAGACCTAAATTTAGCAAATGATCATCAAGCTAGCTCAAGATGTGAGCCCAGCCTTTTTTAAAACAGGTTTTCTTTGAAGGCCTAGCCATCACTTGGGCTTTTCCAAGGGAGGAACGGAGCTTAATTACAATTTTACACTTTCTGCTATTTCAAATGTAAGAACTCAACAACACATTACTCAATTAAAATGAAGACAACCAGTGTGATTTAGTGGAATCCAATTTAAAATGGAACAATGAGGCTAGTGGACATAGCCTTTTCCTCCAAGAGTGGGTTTAACATTTTATAATCACTTTAAATGAGCCCCAATGGCTCATTCATCATTGCTCCCAGTTAAGAATGGAAAAACCAGAGGATGGGGGTCTTGCTTCATGAAAACTCCATTGATTTTGGCTCTGAGAGCATACAGCTTTAAGAAGGTATTCCCGGGAATATCCCATGAACTCTATCCACCCCCTCAGAATACCAGGCAATTGAGTTAGTGATGGTGACTCAGGCAGACTTTTTATCCCGATCTAAAGGAACCACCACAACCCTAGAGAGGGAAATAAAAAGGGAATCAAGTGGAAAAAGCCTCCTCAACCAGATGACTCACGCACCACCGTGTGACTCACCCAGCACATTACTCTGTCCCTAAGACATGGAGGATAGGTTCATTAGTCACTTCGGTGAATTTTTCAAAGAAAGGATTCTCCCTATAAATAATCATGAGCTCTAGTCTCTAGTGTTTGTGTGTGAGCTCATGACTCACCTTTCTACCATGCCAGGCAGCACCAACTGTGTCATCTGCAAAAGAGAAAAACAAAACATTCGTGATGGTTGAGGATGCAAGAGATAAAGAGTGAAGAGAACCCACCCACACAAACAAGAGAGGAATCACAAAACCACTTACCACCTCCATAGACAGCAGTTCATTTTATAGTCTATATAATTTGGCGATGCCAAGAAAAGGAGCCAAATGAAATTATTCAAGATAATGTTGGGAATACTTTTAGTGAACTTGGCTAAAATTAGTCTTGCCTGGCAATGTAATACTGACACAAAGATCTTCAAATAATTAAGGATGTAGGTTGAAATCTACGTCTCCCAAAATACATTCTCAGAAAAGGACATAGGTTATCACAACAAATATCCTGCCTACCAAGATTACTTTAGCTTTCTAATCTCAAGAGCTCTAATGATCTTTTCCTATCAAAAAAGCCTTTAGAAGAATACCATAAAGTGACATGTTGCAAATATTAAGCATTACCTTCACATTCATTTTTCTTGTTGCTCTAGCTAGTTGTGAGTAAAACTCTAAATCCTTAAAGAAAGTTGGCGTTATCTGTGATCTCAAGCAACCAATAATGAAAAAAAGACACTTGCATTTTTAAAGGACTTCATAATTGTTGGCTAAACACACATAAGATGATAAGAGACACTACTTCTAAATTCTATTTTAAGATATTATTGACTAAGAAAAGTAAAGGTATCCATTGGCTTAGTCAAGGCCACATTATAAAGTATTGAGATTAAAACATGAGTTCTTGACTCCTAGATATCATCAATTCTCTAAGAAATAAATGCTGTTTTGTCACAGAAAAGTTTGCACGCATGCAAAGCATAGGAATTTTTAACTTTCTATCTTGAATAATAAATGCTAGGTCTAAATTAGAATAGCATTCTGATAAGAAGATATTTTTTTCTGAGAAATACCCCCTAGGGCTGTGTTTTACTGATTTGTTTGTATTGAGGTAACATTAATTAATAACAGATTAGTTTTAAGTATACAACATTACAATTTGATTTCTGTATACACTATAGTGTTCTCACCATCAAAAGTCTGGTTTCTATTAGGCACCATATATTTAACCTTTTTTATCCATTTCACCCTTCCCCCATCTGGTAACCACCAATCTTTTGTCTGTATTTATGAGTTTGTTTTTGTTTTGTTTGTTCATTTCTTTCCTTTTTGTTTTATATTCCACATGTAGGTGAAAGCATATGATTTTTGTCCTTTTCCATCTGACTTATTTCACTTAGCATAATATCCTCAAGAGCCAACCATGTTGTTGCAAACGGCAATAATTTATCTTTAAGAATGGCTATTATCAAAAATACAAGAAATAACAAGAGTTGGAGAGGATGTGGAGAAAAGGGAACCCTCGTACACTGTTGGTGGGATTATAAATTGGTACAGCCACTATGGGAAACAGAACTATACCAAGAATTCTACCAAGCAAGTCCTCTTCTAGGTATTTACCCAAAGAATATGAAAACATTAATTCAAAAGGATATATGTACCCCTATGTTCACTGCAGTATTATTTACAATAGCCAAGATACAGAAACAACCTAAGTGTCCATCAATAAATGAATGGATAAAGAAGATGTGGTGTATACATAAATACACACACACACACACACACTGGAATACAACTCAGCTAGAAACATTTTAAATAAAGAAAATGCATCCAGACTTTACCCAGATAAAGTACTCAGAACCCAGATATCAACCTTGAAGCTGTTGCATATACTTTTCCAGTAAAAACACAAATTCCAACTGACACATCATAAAAGATAGACTGACACACTGCCAACTTTGAAACAGACAAAGAAGTCTCTTCAAAGCCTAGGGGAATCATTTCAACACAAGTACTTGGCCAAATCTTCTGGCCCACATGAAAAAGAAGAGATCATAAGAAAGAGTTTGGTCTAGGGCATTCTGTATCTCCCTCTTTCTAACATGTAAGGCTACGCTATTCATATTAAACTCATCTTCATGGGGCAGGGACTGCCAACTGGCCTCCAATGTTCATTCTTTCCATACTACGTAACAACTGAATTTTCAGCTGGATATATATATGGCCTCTTTCCCACCCTCATTGCCTGCCATAAAAACTGTATTTTCTACTTTCTCTCTTAGAGCATGTAGCCATATGACTGTGTTCTATCTAATAATATGTGAACACAAGTAATACGTGTAACTTCTTGGTCATGCCTGTAGAGGAGGAAAAAAAATGCAAGTCCTTCTCTTTACTTATTCTTCCTCTTCATGGCTAAATGTAGATGTGATGGAAGGAGCTAAAACAGCCGAGAAGAAAGCCACATGCTAACAGTAGCAGAGTGATGAGATATAAAGAGGCAGTATGCTTACTGATTGTGAAGCTACTATGCCAAACTTCTGACTACCTGCCCAGCTCTTTATCTGAGAAACGAATTTCTATTTTAAGCCATTAGGAGATCTCTGTCACAGCAGCCAGATCAATATTCTTTCCAACTGATATAACTGACCACTTGCACTGCTAACGACCAACCCAATGTTAATATTTTAAGATTTAAAAAATAAACGATCCCCCAAAGCAAACTCAATCAGAAATGATACTGACGGTCCGAATGGCTTCAATATTTTGTCATTTTTAAAATATGATCCTGTTTCTTCTCTTTCCTAGGTCTGTTTGAGCCAATTCAGAATGTGCTCACTGGGCCTCAAACTAAACTACATGGAACCAAGTTGAAGAAAAAGCTGATTTCAGAGCTTATCCTTTCAACACGGTCACCCCTTTTCCTCTCAGATTAAATACTCACTCTTCAAATTTGCTAACACGTTTCCTAAGGTTTGTCTTTTATAGGAGCATAAGCATTGCTCAATATATTACGATTGAATGTTTAAGACAAGTGTGGTATGTAGTCAGGCCACAGGTTTGATCGTAGGCCTTCCGCTTCCTAGCGGTGTGATTCGAGTTAGTTCCTGATCCTTCCTGGCAGTATTAAATGATGTATTAAATGAAGACGGTATCTATAGGTTAGCATATTCTGAGGCTCAAATAGGGTAATGTATAATATAATGGACCTAGCATAGAGCATGGCAAGAGTTTGTCTCTGAGAGGAAATTTATGCCCCTTATGAGAAGTAGGCACTATTATTTTAGAATGTGGCACCACTAAGTATCTAGGACTCCTCCAAACATGCCGAGCCCTAGAGTTTGGAGTCGAAACAATGGCACAGTTTCAGGTCATCCACTTCAACCCCTCTCACAGAAGTTTCTGGACAATTCCGTCAATATTTAAAAATAGCTCAATTGGGATTTTCTTAGGGTAGCAGAACTGTTCTAACATTGGATTGTGGTGATGACTGCACAATTCTGGAAATTTACCAAAAACCATTCAATCGTACACCTAAGATGGATGAATTTTATGATACATAAATTATTCGTCAACAAAACTGTTTTTGCAAAAAAATTTAATAATCATATGGGTAAGAATCAAAGAACTGGAACCACAAAATACATCCGATGTTACTTTATCACACACAGGAGATAAAAGAGCTCTCAAAATGCTCTATGCACTTCAACTCATGGCCTAGAGTGACATGAAGTAACAAAGGGGCATTCTTCTGTTCATTTGAGGCCACGTCATGTACTCGAACCCAGGCTTGGTGATGAGATTTCACTATCTATCAGAAAGACCTTTATATAAATGAATCATTCCATGACAATGCTATGAGCGGTACAACTGAGGTCAGGACAGAGGGCACCAGTGCTTAAAAGAAGTTATGTCTCTCCAGACAGGCGGAGCTTCACGGATTACGCTTAAAAGAATAAACAGGAGTTCACTAGACAGAAAAAAAAATTCTAATCGAAGGAATAGGATGCAAAAATGCAAACAGCTACCAAAAACTACAATGTATGCCAAAGAAATGATTCATTTAAAAAATTTTTTTGTTGAATGAAGTATAAAAAGTAAACGTATGTTCATCCTGTAATATACGTTTTGTAATCTGCAAATCATACCACATTGTGGACATCTTCCCATGCTAGTACAGATATACATCAGGCATATTAACAGTTGTGGTGTATTTTATTGTGAGGATAGATTATATATGCATTCTTAGCAATATCTAAAAACATTTTTTATTTAGCACATTTTATCAGGGGACCATAATGCTGGGCTATTATAAAGAGGTCCCTAAGCATTTCATGAAGAGAAGCTATTACTCAGTTCCCGAAAGTTCTGAGATCACCAGATATAGAATGAAGAAAAAGAAGACTGATAATAAAAATGTCCTCACCTAGGGGTAGGGGTGTGTGTTTGGGTGTGCACGCCTACAGATGCGCCCATGCGCATTAGTGATAAGGAAATGAGACTTGTTAACTGCAGAACAGCTAAGTGGAGTTGCTGGGAGCGGCCACTAACTATTTAGCTCTCCTACAAGGGAGAGAAGAGACAGGCAATCAACTTGGAGAACTACCAGGAAAATCTACAAGATCTGCTGTTGGATTCCTTATTCTGACCAGGGATCTCAGTATCATATGAATATTTAATAAGCGGTTGTGCAGAGTTTAAAAGTTCAATTCAGATTTTTCCCCAAGACATGAATTTATACATTTAAACACAGCTCAATAAGAAATACTGCTTTACAAATAAACAAACAAAACAAAAGCAGACTCATAGACACAGAGAACAAACTGATGGTTGCCAGATGGGAAGGGGGTTGCGGGGCTGAGTGAAAAAGGTGAAGGGATTAAGAAGTACAAATTGGTAGTTACAAAATAGTCAAGGAGATGTAAAGTACAGCATAGGAAATATAGTCAATAATACTGTAATAACTATGGTGCAAGGTGGGTACTAGAATTTAAGGGGGGAATCACTCCACATAAATTATGTACCACTATGCTGTATACCTGAAACTAACATAAAATCATATTGAACGGCAACAGGAAGGACGGACGGAAGGACGGACGGAAGGAAGGAAGGAAGGAAGGAAGGAAGGAAGGAAGGAAGGAAAGTATGAAGTATAAAAAGTAAACGTATGTTCATCCTGTAATATACGTTTTGTAATCTGCAAATCATACCACATCGTGGACATCTTCCCATGCTAGTACAGATATACATCAGGAAGGGAGGGAAGATTATTTTAAATTGAGACAGTGAGGCAATACAAATGCACACACTGGGAGCTATTTTTTTTTTTTCTTACTCTATGTGCATGTCATATGTTAAATGTCTCCTTTGTGAATGGCAAAAATTATCTAGAAAATGATTAGACAAAATAAAACCCCATAAGATACAATCTTACTCACAAAATTACACCAACAGCATGCTAAACATTAAACATGTTCTTGATGGTCTTCAATGTCTGGACAAGTTCAAAATATAGTCTCCCCATACCCCCTTCCCCATTTTTATTGAGGTATAATTGATAATAATTTTGTATTAGTCTAAGATGTTCAACATAATGATTTGATATATAAATACAAAATGATTACTACAGTAAGTTTAGTTAACATCGAAAATCTGGAATGTTTCACTAATTTGTGTGTCATCCTTGTACAGGGCCATGTTAATCTTCTCTGTATCATTCCAATTCTAGTATATGTGCTGCCGAAGCAAGCACCAAGATGTATTCTTTATACGTGTGTATTAAAACTCAAGAAGTTTTAATAAACCGACACAAAGGAAGATGCAGTGTTTTCTACGCCTGGCTATTAAAGGGTCAGAAATACCTCCTGAATGCTCAATGTTCAAATGATCCATCAGCAAAGACACAAGCCCTCTCATGAAAAAGTTAAATTCTGACTCTAATTTCTCCTTGCCATAAAATGGAACATTTTTTTTTTTGATCTGTCAAATAATAACAGCATCGAAAAGTCTGAGAAAAGTTAACCCGAAATCTGCATGCTTTTATAAAGCTAATACCTTCATCTATACTTAAATTATCTTTCTTTCTAATTAGATTATAAATCATAAAAATACAATTTCAAGCCTTCCTCGTTTCGGTGTGTCTGCACAAATAATTCTGAATATTCTGTGCATAGGCTGAGAGGCTTCACTACACTCACATCAAATTAAATTCCCCTTAACATTGAGTTTTAAATAGGACAGTTTAACCAGGCTATTAGTAGTCTCATTTTACTTTATATGCATCAATTGCTATCTTGGTATCTGGTTATTTATACCAGATACCAAGCGTTTCTGTGAAATCTCACTATCTATCTGAAGTCTATTTCACAGCTCACAAGCTGTTTCTGGAGTAACTCAATGTGCTAATTTTAGGCCATCTTCAGGTGATAATTGCTGTACTAGGAAATTTTTTGTTCCTTTTAAGATATTGCTAAAATGAGGTTACCATAATTTGTAAGTGCAGTGGTTAAAAAGATTCAAAAAGTTGTAGTAAGAATGATTTCTATGCTTGTTTTCTTCTATGTTGGGGCTGTTTCCAACAGTATACAGCAAACGATTTTAATTTAATTCTTTCTTGAAAAGTAGATAAAGTTGTTGCAATGGTATCTCAACAATGAGAGGTCCAAGGCCTTGCAGAAAAAAAAAGAAACATTTCCTATTTATATATATATATTTTTTAGTGACAGCTTCATTCATCCTCACCACAGAAAGAGTCCTAGAAGCCTAAAATCAAAGGGGAAGGTCAATATCCGTTCTATCACACCTAGATATTGCATCAAGCTGGACAAAGAGTATACAAATAAACAAACATACAAAGAGTATACAAATATACAAAAGGAAGTTTTTATCAATGACAGCTCAATATAGAATTCCTTTTGGGGACATTGCATATTCATTTTTCAAGAGTGAAATATCTACTGGTATTTATTGCCATACCTATGTATGTTCTGGATGGGAAATAAGAGGCTTTAGTTCAGAAAAAAAAAATCAAAATCGGTTTTATTAGATCACTTAGTTGAGATATCTATCTCAAAAACACATTGGCTACCCTTGAAAATCCTTGAAAATATATTTAAATGTAACCATCTTAGTATTCTTAAATATTTCTCATATTTTTGGCAACTGCTTGCATTGTTTTATACTTAGAAAAGCTCCCAAATTAATGTTATTTCTAAGAAAAATTAACAATTTTTTTTCTCTTTCACTTCTCTGGCATTGTAATCAAGAGTTTGTAGAAGGAACTTTATTTTATACTTGAAAGCTAACTAGGTTTCCCACTTTTTAGTTTAGCATGAAAACTAATAACAAGCATATTAAATAAATTATGCAAATTACTTTACAAGCAAGTAATCTATTTTTACAAGCACATTATTTTTGTATCATGTAACCTCTGGCATTTGGTCATTTTTTGGAAAGAACGGTACAAAGAAAACACTATTGCATGATACTCAAAAGACAATCAAAAACCCAAACGGAAAGATTAAAATTCAAGATAATTTAGTAAAATAAGAAAACGAATTTTGTCACCTGTTATCACCATTATATGTAAATAGGAAATAAAGTGTAACAACTTTCCCTGGAATCTGGGCAAAGCCCCAAGAATCCAGGCTATTCATACAAGTAATTAGGACACTACAAATAACCACTCTGATCATTTCTGCCCTGTCTTCTACCCCAGAGAAACCTGCTTGGAGTAAACAGGATCCGAATTCAAGCAACTGAAAAATGAACCTACGCAAATCAGAAGAAAGTAGATACAAAGGCCTTAAACAAGTTTTCAATTGGAATAATTAACACTAATTTAAAAATCCATGGCATAATAGTGCAAAGAATTACATAAAGTAATTTCAAAGAAATTACTTTTTGGGAGAAATTACATAAAGTAGTTTGGGAGAAATGAGATGGTAATTCCACTGAAGTCATACTAGAATGCTACAGCACACAGTTCCTTTGGCAAACTGTATAATTTGAGCTCTGTGATATCAAGGATACAACTTAATTAGAAATGTTTACAATCTAACCTGTATTACTAACAGAATATCTACTGCACAGGGGGTGAAACGCTTAATTAGATAAAATTTATAGAATGTTCTGAGATCTCCGAGTACTGTTTGATTTTCCTCTTTGTTAATGTTTAAGTCTTTGTAGAAGTGCTCTCCTTGCCATAACTGCTCCCCACCTCCACCCTGTCCCATATTATTTAACCTGAAATTTAACCCTACACTCTTAAAATAAAAAAGAAAAAATTGTAATAAATTCTGGTCTGATATATGTTAAAATAATTTAACGAAAGAAAAAGAACTTTCCAAAATGAAGGGCTGCGTGCCAATTAATAATGATGAATCTCAGGCAATAACTTATAAACTCTAAACAAAAATTAAAATAAAAAGAACACATATACCATCATATACTGTTTTTCCAAGTTTAGCATACTATAATATGCTAGGAGTTCCCATTACTTGAATTTTCCCAAAATAAGCTGACTTGTCAAAAAGTGACAGATTCTGAGAGGAGAAACCAATCACGAAAGTTCTCAAAGAGATTTTTACATTTTCTCCCATACATTAAGGCATTTCTTCTATAAAGTAGCTTTATTCTGAGCTGGAAAGAGCCTTAGAACCAATCCACAACTACTTCCTTGTTTTTTAAAGATGAAAACTATTGAAAGAGTGGTTGTCATGCAGTTTGGCAAACCCATTTCTTTGTAGCTATGTCTGAAGCAACCCATTACTATGAGAATCCAAGGGCTAAATGTACCAACTAATTTGGAAACTTCTAGGAGCATAATGATAGCTGCTTTCAAATGGATTAAAAGACTCTCTTGATGTTAACTTGCAAGGTCTTCGTCTAGAAAAGCCCTGGGTGGGAGTCAGTGGTGAGGGTCATACTCTCTTTCTTACAATTTGTTAATTTCCTAATGTTGTTAATTTGAATTCTTGGAGCTAGGTAGGGGGATAAACTCAGCATAATCCCTCAGTTAAATACAATGAGACTGCCAAACAGAGATTCTTCTCAGAGATTTCCACATTAATAGAGGGCTCCCCCTGCTGGTACCATGTCACACGCCAGAGGTAAATCCATACAAGTAAAAAGAAAACACGTTTCTCCTGTGATTTTTTATCCATCTGTCTATCCATCCAAACATCTATCATCTGCTCCATGGGCAGAGCATAGTGTTACCCACTTCTGGCTGAGTGACATACAATGACTACATAGTGGTATCAGAAAGGAAAAAATTAGCTTTTCAAAAGCATGCAAAGGGCCTCAAACTCCAAGTGTTTTGATTCAGATAATCATAGGGATGGACAAGATTCATTTCGTTAAAGCCATTCTAATCCCTCAACTCCACTAAGCAGTTACGCAGTTTGAGTATATTGAATACATGGAGTTACCTGAACAGGGGAATGCAAACTCAAATGTCTAAAAGGGCCGGGAAGGTGACATAAATGAGTACAGCCGGCGAGACTGGTGGGACTGGTGGGATCGTAGCCATCTGCAGAGTGCAGGCGTGTGACTATGTAGCGCACTCAGCTGCTACTCAGCTCTAATCGCTTGCTGCTATGCTACAGCTCAGGTATGTGTTACCTGATTTTCAGATTTTTCCCAAGAGAAGCTAGAAATTTGGGTGTGAAATGTCCCAGTTTTGAAAACAGTGCTTGAGCCAACTGAAATATGCCGGTAGGGCACATTCAGCCTACAGGAGTTTGCAATCTCTGATCTAGACTCAGAAAAGGAACTCACCTCCACATTCTACTTCTGGCAGGTCCAAAGGTTAGGAACTTCTCACATTTATTTCCTTCGGTGTAAATGTCAGCAATGGATCTAAGTTCAGCCACGTATACTAGGGTCACATATAGTAAGTGTGACCCTTATTCCCAGGCACTAGAATTTTCAGTTTCTTTCATTCATTCATTCATTCATTCATTTTTTAGTCAAAAACCATTTGTTGTATCCCTGCCATATGTGGGGCCTGGGGCTAGGAAATGGCAAAAATGAAAAAAGACATGGTACCCGCCCTAATAGGGCTTACAATCTGTAGAGAGACACTCAACTAAAAAGGAAGTGCTGAGTGAAGGGAAGACCCGCAGTGTGCACTGAAGCTGCATGGCTTAGAGACCTAATCTAGTCTGCAGGGGTCAGGAAGCCTCCTCCCTATGTCCATCCCCAGGTAGGTAATACTTTAGCTGAAAAGTGAAGGGTAAATAGAATTAGCAGAGTGAAAGATGAGGGAGCCTTCCACGGAGCAGGACCAGCCTGAGGAAACAGTAGGTTCAGGAGACTGAACGAAGATGCTTTGACTGAGCACAGAGAGAGTTAGAAGGAGAGGGACCTGAGGTGAAGCTGGAGATGTGAGCAGGGGCCAAATCGGGTGGGTCCTATCCTAGAGGTCAGGGGTCCCCAACCTCAGACTGCGGACCAGTACCGGTCCATGGCCTGTTAGGAACTGGGCCGCACAGCAGGTGAGCTGCAGGCCAGCAACCAAAGCTTCATCTGTATTTGCAGCCGCTCCCCAGCGCTAGCATCACTGCCTCAGCTCCACCTCAGACCATCAGGCATTAGATTCTCATAGGAGCATCGGTTCCTGGTGCCAAAAAAGGTTGGGGACCGCTGCTATAGGTCACGTGAAAGATTCTGGACTTGAGGAAAAGGAGAAGTCATTGAAGGATTGAACAGCAGTGTGATAATAACCTGATATGAAATACCCTGGCTACA